GGCAACACAGAGAAACTCTATCTTGAAAAAACCAAAAATGCCTTTGATTCTCCAATTCCACTTATAGAACCTAGGCTCTGTAAAAACTTGGTTGTATGTATGTGTATGCACTTGTGTGTAAAGATACATTTACCCACGTAGGTACATGTAGTTGACACAACATGTAGCTGACGTTTTTTTCCTCAATGGCTCTTCTGCCTTAATTTTTGGGGACAGTCTGTTGCTGAAACTAGAGTTTGTCATTTGGCTACTCTATCCTCCTGCTCCTGGGGTTAGCCTCTAACTTGCAGTGATTCTTCCACACATCATCAGACCCAGCTTTTCTGTAGGCCCTGGGGATCTGAACTCAGTTCCTCAGGCCTGGACAGAAAGCACCTTATCCACTGAGCTATCTCCCCAGCCCCTAGACATGCACATAGGGACTGGAGAGGCAGACTACTCTCCCAGGGGATACAGGTTCAATCCCAGCACCCACATGGTGACTCATAACCATCTGTAACTCTGGAACCAGGGGATCCGACACCTTCTTCTGGCCTCCTCGGGCACCTATCATGCACATGGTTCAGAAAACTACATGCAGGAAAAACACTCATATACATAAAATTTTTTAAAAGTTAATAAAATTTCAAAAAAATTTAAAAAAAGACACTCGAGGAGAGCCAGTCATTGCAGATGCTATTACCACAATGGTGGAAAATGATACGCTAATGTCTAATAATGACCAAGTTCTCATAGATCCAGAGAGTGATGTACGGTCCAGCTATTAAATTGACAAATATAGACATAGAAAGACTCTTTTTTAGATGTTGAGAAAATAAGTTAAAAAATAAATTTATGAGGCGGTTGGTGTGTGCTTGAACTCCAATAGCCGGGTAGCACAGGTAAGAGGATCTAGACTGAGGCTAGCCTGGTCTACACAGCAAGACACATTCTCTTTCTCACCTTCCCTGAGACAGAGAGGAAAAGAATGAAAAGAAAAGGAAAATAGCTGGGGAAATGGCTCAGTGGTAGAGGTCCTGGGTTCAAGTCCTAGAGTGGGGGGAGGCGGTGGGGGGGATGATATCTTTTTTTTTTTTTTTTTTTTTTTGGTTTTTCGAGACAGGGTTTCTCTGTGTAGCTTTGCGCCTTTCCTGGAACTCACTTGGTAGCCCAGGCTGGCCTCGAACTCACAGAGATCCGCCTGCCTCTGCCTCCCGAGTGCTGGGATTAAAGGCGCGCGCCACCACCGCCGCTTCTTTTAGTCAGAGTGTAGGAAAGAATCATTGCAAGTTAGGAGCCAGCCTAGGCTAGATAGAATCTTGAAGAAGGAAGAAGAAGACAGAAACAGACATGCATAGCCAGATCCCAGTTTTGTACCAAAAGCTGTATATGAATAGTCAAATGCACACACAAAAATGATCAGGTATGTATAACTCGGGTCATGGGTTTATGGGTATTTCATAGTTTCCTTGTGTTTGCTTTTATTTTTTAATTTCTCTAAATGTGATTTTTTTTAACACAAAGGCTATTCACTCTAAACTGATTAAGATTTAAAGTAATACAATTAAGATGAAAGTGATCATGAATCTTTATTTTATTACATGTATATAATCCTTGATAGTTTATTAAGTATACATATTTAGCACCAAGAAATTATCAAGAGCCTTCCTCTGCAAACAGTGAGTTTCTACTTGTGACCACAAAGTAAAGCAGTACAGAAACCACATGAGTGCTAGTTTTTGAGTTTTATATATTATACACTCCAACTCTTTATCATCAGTGTGAACTACTACTTAATCACTGGCTATGTTTAAGTGTAGGACATGAGGGCATATGCTTGAAATCTCAGCAATTGGAGGCAAGCCCGGGCTACATACTTAGAGGTATGTAAACTCTGCTACCACTCTTCCCATTTTCAGCAAAGAAAACTGAGGCACTGAGAGGTTTGGTGCTACATCTAAGTCACTGACAATGTGATAAAACTCCATATTCTCCAGTTTTAGCATTGTAACTATCTAGCCCTCGCCCACATAAAACCTGTAATTTATAAGCCCTGTGGCAGACTTTGTAAAGAAGAGGGAAGGTCACAATCATGAAAGTAAAATTAGAAAGCATACCACTTGTCTAGATTTCCTGGCATTGATTCTTACAATATTAGGATTATCATCATTTAAAAAAATTGTATGTGAAATGATTAGCCACTACACTGCAACTTCAATGAGTGCTTAGGTCAACATTTTGCTAGACTTCTTTCCAGCATATTACCCAGAAAGATTCTACATTCAGTATTAGTCAAGCTTATAGAAAGGACTAGGACCCAGTGCTTGTGACTACCTTGTAATGCAGCTACCTGGGCAGGTGAAGACTACTGCCCAGGCTCACTGCAATGTGGTTCACACACTCACTCAGCAACGATGGAAGAGAGTTCCTCTGGGCACTATTTTAGTTCCTACAGAGATCACAGTAACGCAAGCTCTACCCTTCTGAAACATTTATCATAGCACAATTACTCCTGAAGATCATGGCCGGTAGTTTACTAGCAGCCTAACTAACATTTTTTAAAACTTCTGCCACTTGGAAAGCTTGCTATCCATGTCAGGGGACACTCCATAAGAAAGAAGCATGCTACCAAGGTTCTCCAAATTTCCCTGCCCTGGAGAAATTCCTAGAAAACATTGAGAATACTGACTACTTCCCATTGTCTGACTCAGGTGGACGGACAGAGCTTGTGACGTGGATGTAAAGGTATCTGAGGTCCAGACTCCGAAATGCAGTCAGTAAGTAGAGCCATTCGGGAAGGCATCACTAAAAAGAGAACTCTGACACAAACTCAACTTTCACGTAATTAATTTTCTGTAAGTCACAAACTTAGCAAACTAAAAAAAATAGATGAGAGACTCCAGACGTAGCTCAGCCATACAGCACTTGCCCAGCATCACAAGGCCCAAGGTTCAAACGTCAGCGCCACACACAAAGATGAATGTGAGGGAGGGGGTGTAGCTAGGTGATAGGGCACATGCTTGACATGCTCCAACCCCTGGTTCAATCACCAAAAGAGAACCAGCATGAGCAGAGGAATTTACTAGGGCCTCTCTTTTAATCTCTTCTAAGTGTTTTAAGGGTGTGTCTCAATCTAGGTATTTGGTGGGAAAGATAAAGAATGCCCAGAGGAAAAGGAAATGGCTAGCAAAAGAAACAGCAACAGAAAAATGCTGAGAGACAAACATTTCAGGGAACTAACTTGCCACCACTCATTTTCTGCCCTATTTCACAATGCTCGGCATCTGGGCAAGCTACAGGGTTCCAAAGTACATTAAAAATGTCTTCATTTCCTCCCTTACTCAGGCAGAATAATAATAGTTTTGTGGCGGTACCACGCTCCTCAGCAATTTCAACAGCAATTTCCTAACTTTTTTAGGAAATATCATTTTTTGACATGTACTCTCAGAAGGGCTTACTGTGGCTTAAAGGTGCATGGATGCTTTTAGCCCTGTCACCAAATCAGTGTCCCTCACTTCTTAATTTAAACCCTTCCCAATTTCCTGAGTTCTTTACATATCTCCTACAAAAGATTTTCCTTTTTAAAAAGTTAAGTTATAAGCAAACTCACACACACACACACACACACACACACACACACACACACACAAACACACACAAACGCTTCAAGCAAACTAGTAAAAAAAATGTAACAGAAATGATAACAATGGTTGTTGAAACATCCGCACGCTTCACGTTAACGTCATCTAAAAATAAAAGTATCCCAACAAATACACTCCTCCTGTTAGAAGCGTTAGAGAAGTGCCCTGCAAAAGCAGCTGGCCTGCTGGCTCCTGGCCCTAGCTCCTGCCCTCACATCCTGTCCACTACATAATCCATGAGTTGGCCTTTCTCTTCATCAGTTCAGCAGGATTAGTAAAAGGGCCTCCCCGAAAATAGAATTGATATTTTCCAGAGGCATTTGTTCCTATGCTTTCATTATCTACGCTATTTACTAATCAGACTCTTTTTTTTATTCTGTCTTGTTGACCACCTAAGTACCAACAGAAAGATACCAACAGATAAAGCACAAAAGAACCGCATCTGGCCAGAATCTGCATGCATTTACATTTCCAGGCTGTTTTCTGAATTTCAGTGATGAGGACAAAGTTGGAAACTTTAACATTCAAGACGCTACCAAACATCTCTACAGCCTCCAGCTGCAGCAAGAAGCCGCTCATCTATTCCTTCAAAAGCCAAGCCTGGAGTCTGAATCACAACAATAGACTGACTGCTCATGGGCAAGCGGATCAGCGAAGTTGTCTTCCAAAGCAAAGGCAACCGAAGTGCAGGGAGGTCCAGCCAGCTCCTCCTTGCTTTTCTCCTTCTGGGAATCCAGATTGCATTTCCTGGTCCCCCACAAGAAGGGACCGCAATTGTGCCCTGGGTCCACAGCAGGAACCCGAGTCGGTGCGTGCGCAAGGCAGGGCGAAGCGGCCGACCCCGGGGATGCGCTCTCGCTGCAAGGAGAGCCGCTTTCTGTTTAAATACCATCAGAGGCAGCCCCGGCCGCATCACTTCGGGCCGAACGGCATTGACCGCCCTTCACTGACAGGGTATTCCAACCAGGAGCCAGAGGAAAAAAAGGATGAGCCGGGGACTCGAGGCCGGGGCGGGGGGGACCGGCGGGCTGCGCGATGCCGCTCCCCCGAGCTCGGGATCCCCGGGAGGCCGGGCCGGCCCGCCACCCTCCGGCGGCCGAGGGCAGAGGGGTCAGCGGTGGAAGGACCGCCCGCCGCGATGCCCCCCTCGGGAGCACCGGCCGCGGCTGCGGACGCCCATTCAGCCCGAGCCCGTCCCGCGGCCGCCAGCGCCGCGGCCCGCCCGCCCGCCCGCCCCGCGGCCCCCGGGAGGATGAGAACGACGAGGCAGAGCGGCGGCGACGGCGGCCGCGGGGCCGCGCGCCCGGCCGCAGGACCCGACCCCGGGCGGCCATCGCCGACCCCCGCCCGCGCGCCAGGCCGCCCGCGTCAGCTCCTCACCTCATCTCCGGGCGGGTGCGCGCGGCCGCCCCTCGCACAAATCAGTGCAGCCCGCACGCCGCGAGCAGGAACGCAGGGTCCGCAGCCGCGCACACCATCCCCGCCCGCCCGCTCGCCCGCCTGCTCCCGGCCGTCCCGGAGCCCGCTCGGGATGCTCCCTTGCGAGCCGCCGTACTACGGAGCAACCAAGCTGCGCGCCCTCCCCGCGCCGCTCCAGTCTTCTCGCCCTCCTTCGCTCCTTTGCTCCCTCGCTCCCGCCTATCTCCTCATCTCCCTCCGCCGCCTTCCCCCTCCACCCCGTCCCCGCCCACAGGCAGCCCTCCGCTCCGCCCACAGATGGGCGGGGATAACCGCCTGCCAATCGGACGTCGGAGGCCACGCCTCCTCTCCTCCCCCTACACATGACCACGCCTATTGGGTGGGCAAAAAATGGGAAGAGCCAAGGAAAAAGGAGGTGTACAGAGTGGCAGCCAGATAAACCAATCAAGTGGTTCAGAGAGCTTTTTTTTTTTTTTTCTCCCCTCCCTTGTCTCTTCCCAAGAAGGCGTAACTAGAGGTTTCTGGTCTGTGCGTGTGGAGATTTTGTTTCACGGTGTGGTGCTTTGCTCTTTTCTATGCGCGACAGTAGCTAGGATACATTCAACTAAATTGAAGGTTTTGCAGAAAGAATATGGAGACGAAAGTCGAGGCGAGACAAAGGCTGAGGGAAGATGGTAGGGGGTATGGTTGGAATGAGGAAGGGTGTGGCCTTTTACTGTAATTTGCATAAAACGGAACCCATCTCGGCAACACCCAACTTCTCCCATTTATTGGTAGTCCCTAGGGTGGTGCCTCGCCTCTCTAAGGAGAGGAGCATGCCGGGAGTTGTAGTTCCGGTTTCGGTTGCTATGGCGTTCGTCACAGCCTCCCCCAGATCTGTCGTCCTGCGGTGTGACGGGCTTTCTGGCCAATGGCAGTACTGTTTGGGCCCGAGAAGGCGGGCTCTCTGCAGAAGGACTGGGAAGGTGGCGGCGGCGGCGGCGGCGAAGGCGCTGGCGGTTGAGGGTGCTCGGAGGCAGGTGAGCTAGGAAAGAGCGTTGTGTGTCTCGGGAAATGGGACTTCGGGCGAAAGATGGAGAAGCGCTTGAAGGAACCGTCTAGCCCTGGGGGGGTGGGGGGGTGGGGGTGGGGGTTGGTGCTTCGCATCACCAGCCGACCTCAGAGCTGCTCCACCTCAGGCCTAGCTCGGCCGAGGCCGCGGGGGGCGCGGGGGGCGCGGGGGGCGGGTAGTGTAATACTAGAGTTGAGGGACGGTGCCTGACCCTGCATAGGTTTTGACTGTGGACGGATCTTTGCTTCACCCTCCGCGTTTCTGTAGGCAGAGGTCTCGAATTGCTTCGCGCCTGGGTTGAAGCCCCCCACCCCCCAGCTGCTCCCCTATAACTGCTTCTGATGCTGTCTCCGTTACTACGCCCCTGTCACCCTTTCTCACCCTTCCTTTGCCTTTCTGGTGAGCAGTTTCCTAAACCGAGGGTGGGAGTTCTCAGCGGTGTGGCCTTGGGTCAGGAATTGCCTGCTTCATTGCGCTGTCCAGCGGAATACTTGAACCATACGCAAGATTATCCCGGGGTCGTGAGGAGGTGCAGATACTGGTTCTGGATCCGGGCCTGATGGTCCACATTTGTTTTAAAAAATGACTTTATTCTGCATTTTTAACAAGCTCCCAAGTGCTGCTAGTCCACAGTAGCTGTGTTTTTCATTGCCTGTTCAGGACAAGTGTTCTAGGTGTTTAGGTGCTTTTAGATTTCCTGGGAGCCATATTTGGATAGTGAAACGAAAACATGAAATTAATTTTATGTTTCATTTAAGCCAGTATATCCAAATAGTATTTCAACATTTTAAAAAAATCGGATATTTAAGTGAGATAGTGTATTTTTCATGCTGAGTTGTACAGATCGGTTGTGCATTTTACCCTCACAGCATGCCTTCTTCCTAACTGCCCACCACCTGTGGCTATTAGCTGCTGTACAAATCCAGGGGATACAACGGACCATCGTAGAAACGAAACCCAACAGTGTTCATCGTGTGATTGCCAGTGACCAACCCTTTGCTGCTCTGTTACATGGGTTCAGAAGTACTTTTAAGATTCGATGCTGAGCTTACAAAAATAATAGGAAAAGTAATTAATGTTTTTTAAAAGCCAACTTTTGTAATGTGTGCTTTGCATACCATACTCAGTCCTTGCAGCACCCCGATCCTGGTCTCTTAGTTCTAAATCTTAGGCATCAGGTACTACAATGCACAGTTATTTCTGACTAATTTCACTTCATCCCTGCTTCTGTTCCATCCTGTAGGAGGGGATGAGATGTTCATATTTGAAAGAGCATTCCTCTTATAAAATCAAGCTACCCAAGGTTGGAAAGCTGACTCAGGTTAAGAGCACATGCTAATGCTCCCAGAGGACCATAGTGCCCAGCATCTACGTGGTGGCTCACAACCCTCAATAACTCTAGTTCCAGGGGCTCTGAAGCCCTCTTCTGGTCCCCAAGGACACAGGGCACACAGGTGATGTGCATACACCCATACATATAATTTTTTTTTTTTTAATTAAGATCAAGCTGCCTGACTGGGCATGGTCGCATGTGCCTTTAATCCCAACGCTTGAGAGGCAGGGGCAGGCAGCTCTCTGAGTTCAAGGTCAGTCTGGTCTACATAGCAGGACTTAATAGAGACCCTGTCTCAAGCAAACAAAAGTCAAGTTGTCTGACATCTGTGGTGAAGTATCTGGTGGTTGCACAGTTCTCCACACCCCTCAATTACAGTCAGAAGCTCCGGGCTGAAGAAGAGGTGAAAACTTGAAGGACATTCTTGACCCTCTGGACAAGAAAGAGAATGAGTCTTGATTCATTGTATGCCTCTCTGGAAGCTGGGAAAAGCTTGGGAACTCATAAAATGGTTCACTATGGGATCATAGTGTTTTCCACCTAGTGCAGGCCTGGAATCCCGCTTAGTCCTCCAGCTGAGGCAGGAGGATTGGCAGTTCAGGGCCAGCCTAGATAACTTAATGAGACCGTCTCAAAACAGTCAAAAAGAAATAAGGGCCATGGACACAGTGTTTCCTGGTTGTGTTTGTGTGGATTCTTCCTGTCTCAATAGATAGTCCAGGCTGGCTGGCCTCAGTCGCCCCAGGGCCGATGGCTAATTGTGCATCTTTTGTGGATCTACTGTGACACTGAGCTCAGAACTCTAAATATACATGGAAAAAATATAGTATTTCTCAAAGTAATTTTCTTCCTTTTTATATATTATGATAGACTTCATGAGATTGTTTCCTCTTTCAATTTTTTTTTCCCTGATAGAAAGCTCGAGGACAATTTTATTAGAATTTTAGAGAAAAACATAGTATAGGTTAGGTGAGCATCCTGGCAGCCACCAGGAGAGATGTAGGAAATTGATGTCTTCTAAGTTAGATGCAGAGTAGCAATAGAGCTGGCACTCCCAAGAAGGGAGGTGGGCTTTCTGACGGAAGATCACCAAAAACCTCCTCTCTCATTGGTAGTAGACACTGAAATCATAATTTGTATTTCACATCTAAATGTTTCCTCAGGACCCTATCATGAACCGATGAATTAAGTCATCATTTGCAGATTGCTGTAATAGTAATAGGCAGAGATTTTCTTACTGGATTAGAGGGAGAAAGGTTGACTAATTAGGGAAGATCCTCAGTGGTCTGTCTCACTCCTCACATCTCTTCATCCATCACACTTCCTCCCTGGGACCCCAGGAGCACATGTGAGAAGCTAGGACACTAATCACAAAGCTAAATGAGAGGTTAAGTTTCTGTTGTCCTGGAGCATGCCGTATCAAATGGCCGTACACTTACTCACAGTCTGGGAGATAATGACTTCCCACCTTGCCAGCCGACCCCTCCCCGCCCCTTACTGTATTGGCAGGGAAGGATCTGATGTAAGAAGTCCTAGGCATGGGTGTTTGCCCATGTGTATTTTAATAGTGTCTAGTGCCCTCAGGTGCCAGAAAAGAGCATCAGATCCCCTGGAACTAGAGTTACAAATGGTTGTGAGCCACCATGTGGTTGCTGGGAATTGAACCTAAGTCCTCTGGAAGAGCAGCCAGTGCTCTTAACCACCGAGTTACCTCTCCAGGCCTGAAGTCCGACACTCTTAAGTGAAAATCAGCTTACTAGACCAGGTCTCATGGAGGAGGATGGGAGAAAGCATGAACATTTTCTCTTCTGTTTTAACAAACAGGGGTTTGATGGGTGCCTCCCTACTCAATAGGCTCATGCTGAACCCTGTTGAATAGATGAAGCAGCAGTTTGACATCTCTAAGCACATACTATTTGTTTGCTTGCTTAACTTAAAACTTTTCTGCCTCTCAATCTATCTTTAATTCTCAGGTTGCATAAAATGTAGGAATTATGCCACAATGTATAAAGTCAGTCAAGTATGACTTGATAATATTCACAGAACTGTAGCTTGTCAGCCTGGTTGATTGCACATACCTGTAATTCCAGCACTTGGGAGATGAAGACATAAGGTTCAAGAGTTCAAGGTCGTTCTTGGCTATGTAGCAAGTTTGGAACTAGCCTGGGTTACATGAGACCCTATCTCAAAAAATTAACGATAACAATAATAATAAAAGAAATTGTCATAATTAGAAGAGACTGCAAAAGCCTTCTGGTTCCCTGTCCCACTCACCTGATGCTTGAATCCCAATAACTGTATCCAGCCCATTTAAGTTCTTCTAGGGATAAGGACCACATAACTTCATTTTTCTTTTTTAAATTTAAATTAAAGCCAAGTGTGATGACACATGCCGGTAATCCCAACACATAGAAGATCTTTGCAAATTCAAGTCCAACCTGGTCAACATAGAGAATTCCAGGCCATCTAGGCCTATATAGCTAGACTCTGCCTAGTTAATACTAAAATGTACAAGTGAAATATTCTTACTGGGGCTTGGAAAGAGCTCAGTGGTTAAGTTCACTGACTGTTCTTTGTGAAGTATTAGGTTCCATTCCCAGCACCCACATGGCAGCTCACAGCTCTCAGGTGATCCAATGCCTTCTTCTGGCCTCCATAGGTTCCTGCTTACAAGGAAATCTTGCCAAATGAGGTGGCACACACCTTTAATCCCAGCATTCTGGAAATAGAGGCAAGTGGATCTCTGTGAGTTCCAAGCCAGCTTCGTCTACATGGCAAGTTCCAGGACAGCCAGAGCTACACAGAGAGGCTCTGTCTCAAAAAGTAAACAAACAAAAAAAACCAACTTTTTTTTTTTAAGTTCTTACAGCACATTATTTGCTGGACTTTCTGTGACTTGGCCAGGATGAAGACACTCAGGCCATCTCCTCTGCCCATCCTGTAATGGACTTCCAGTTACGTGTCTATTGACTGAGGTTGATCAGACACTTGGGGCCCTTTTGTCCTAAAAGTGTAGGTAAGGGCTAATAAACAGAGGTTTATTTACAATCATTAACGGATGAGCTCCTTGGGGAGTAGAGTGTAGCAGGGGACTAGCCAGTGTAGTTCATGTTGCTGTTACAAAACAGAATCATTTGCAATCCCCTCCCCTTGGCTCTGAAGAAATCCTCTGGCAGAGCCCGCCCTCCATTGTGCTTTCTTGAAGTACTTACAGTTTGGTGTTTAATGTGTACCAAGGTGTCTCTCTGTTTGCATAGCTGAATCTTAAGTCAATATCCTTTCTAATTTTCAGAAGATTTACCATGTTTAATATGTGACTTTATAAACATTTAAAATATTGCTAAAATAATATTCATTTATGGATTTATTTTCAATTCTAATGTAATTGTAAAAATGTCAGCTCTGTATGCTTCTCACAGGACATCTCAGCCTCCCTACTTACTTTTTTTTAAATTTTTTTAAATTATTATCATTATTTTATGTGTCTGGGTGTTCTGCCAGAATGTAGGTCTGTGTCTGTGGAGAGCACTGGATCCCCTAGGACTGGAGTTTCAGACTATTGTGAAGTGTAATGTGGGTGCTGGGAATTGAACCTGGGTCCTCAGCTTTACTGATGAGCCGTCTCTCCAGCCCCT